ACAATAATGTCCGACTGTCTATTTTATAACGTTTGACTTGGAATTCATTTCCTCCTCTACTACATGCAAATTATGCAATTCTTGTGGAATGTGATGAAACTTGCTGTTTGCATCCACTCATCTCACAAACATTTGACAACGGTCCGGTTAGAAATAAGCTGACAGCTTTTAACCAAAATTCAGGGTACAGAGTGTCGATAGTGAGTTTGGAAACCAAAAGTATTTTGACAGACAAGCCCTGATCGATAAGATTCGGATATTGACATTTTGACAATAATGCGAAAGTAGAATCTATAATGTAAATTAGGTTAGCGTGATCCACAATAGTATTCAGCAAATACTGTGAACAAACCGTATGGTACGCCGGTGTGAACCTTTTGAGCGTGTATAAGTCAATCCTGCTCACGTCGCAATGTGACAGGAAAGGCGCTGCTGATATGGATGAGCAACGTGTCCTATTATCTAACACATCCATTCTCAGTTTTCTGAAGCTAGCTTAAACGTATCGACCAAATTCGGTTATACACAATCCTCAGTTAACTATTGCGGAGACAGTAGAGAAAGTACTACATTAGACGGTTAGCGACCGCGTGAGAATAAATTATCTCACCAATTCTCTTGGGATGCACGAGGGCCGAAAGGAAAACGCTCCACGTTCGACCAAGATGTTATTGATTTCACCAGCTGGAAGTGAGCACTCCATAAAGTTACGAATGCATAGCAGTACTGTTTATGCTAATTTACCCAAAAACGCGTATCACAATGGTAATCAAAATAAGTTCGATTTCACTGGCTGGTCGTTGATGCGGATTGTTGTCCAAAGTTTTGAGTTAAAAGTTATGTCGTTCAACAACAATCAATAGAGAGAACCGAGAGGCTCCTTCGTTCCTGTTGTGACTCAGTAGGTGTAGTCATGTTGCAAAGGACTAATAAAGGCCACGGTAAATCAATAGTTCTAAATATTTTAGGATGGTGCTCTTGAAAGTTCGTCCAACTCTATTGATGATGGGATTTACCAATTCATCCGAAAATGGAGAAACGTACCTGGTCAGGTTCTCGCCGTGTGTACGCTCAGCATTTGCTAGACAATTGTGAACCTAGTGTTCTGCTTCTAAGATCCCTTCAATCCAGATTCCCTCTTAGGCTCTCAAAAGCTTGAAAATTTGGTGAGTTGATCGACCCCGTTGGTAGCTGATTTCATTTACATATTAGTCTGTTACCGAAGACGGGTTCTCGGAGTTTAGTCCAGAACCCTTTCTAAGCATATTGGATAATTTGAAAGAGGCATTTGGCTACATCCTCAGCATCATTTCTCAATATAAATTACTTCGGTGATGTACCCAAATACCCTCGTATTTTTCTAGTGAGCGAAACATGTTCAGATTCTCGAAAATGCATGATGTAAATCTCGAGATCTCTCTTCGTACGAGGTGCGTCCTTTCGGTAGAATGGTGATCAAGCCTGAACACAATTATCTAAGCGAGACCATACACTAACCTTATAGATAGAGGCACACTTCGGCTCTCCTACAGGAAGGCGCAGACAATGGTCGAAGTGGTTGACGTCTATCTGCAACCACACATCGGGTACTCAAACTGAAGTCTGAAGCCACCGTAACTCCCAGATACCTAGTGTCGTTTATGGTGTCTACTTCGAAGTATCCCGACTCCCTGCTTTTAATGATTTTCGGGTGTTGAATAGCAAATGAATGTTCCCTGCGTTCAGTGGCCAGTCCCTTGCATGAGATCAGTAGAACAAATACGCGATTTTCTAGACTTATTCTTCTACAAGAATCAACTAACTTCATGCCATCAGCGAAGGAGAAGCATGGTGAACTAGTAAGTTGTGTTAGGGCATTGGTGAACATCATAAAGCGAGATGGATCTAAGACCACCCGTCGAAACACGCCACTAGCAAACTGAAAGATTCATAAGAGTTCCATGTAACATGGACGCGAAATTCGTATTTGGCAAGTACGCCATCATCCACTTAAATAGTGTTCCAATTATTCCATACCATCCTAACTGGGTGTTTCAAAATAACATCAATGTTTTTGTTGACGATACAATGATTATTGGGTCCCGGCGGGTTGGAGAATTGTGCAAAAGACAAAAGTCGTCCAAGAAAGGAAACTGCTACATCAGCCTGTTGTTTTGACCATAAGAAACCACATTTTTCACCGTTTATCTTCATTCGAACGTGGTTCGTGCGTCATTGTATTTTTGTTAAAATAAAATTATTGAACTAATGAGAAAAATGTCTGCACTCAAAAACCGGTTACAGGGAATGTATGAATGACACCATGTCATAGGTTAGATTATTTACAGCAATGGGTCTTACTTATCTCTGACTAAAACAGTGTTGCGCTTACCGCATTTTGTTGACTCTCCACACGGGCAAAATTTTGCAGGCACATCTATAAGTATTCATCCACTTCATTAAATCATCGTAGTATGCCTCAAAATAAAACGCGATGCAAACATATGCTAATTTTAGCTATTGCCAGGAGACTGTTTAGTTTCACTCTTTAGTAAAAATAGCACAAAGCATTGCGTGTGACATACTGGCACTGAAGCAACATAACAGTCATGTGAGTGCATACAAAAAGCTACCAATCGTCATCCTGAGCATGTGGAGCACAATATAAAAGCCAGCGATAACCTACGTACGTCAGATCACAAAAGATGAAATCAAATATCGTGAAAATATTGTTGATCACGGTGTGTGTTAACGATATCGTTGGTAAGTAATCCAGCCCCCCTGAAACATCTTCGATAACCAGCACAGAATGCACAGGGTTGTGAAGAAGTTGTCGCATCGAATGAAGTATAGATGTTCACTATATTAGGCAATGGCACCGGTTGTCAGTAACGCGTCAAAGCGGATTCCGGTAAAGCGGTGGTGTACGTTATTGTAAGTAAACACAAAATACCTAAGTCTATTTGGAACGGTAAAATTGGACCAGAGGATATATGTTTCCGAATTTATTCATTTGTTTACAGACGACGAGTGGAAGCAAATGTGTGAAGGTGTCCAGTGACGGAAAATCGGAAACACTGTGTCCATCAGGTGCAACAAACCAGTTTTCATCCAGCTCACTGATTGAGGTGAGTGCAGATTCCGACATGACCAGTCCAGAGGCAACGACACAACCAACTGATGCAGTAACAGACCCGACCACAAAACCGACAGATCCAACTCCAGCTAAGCCATCACCGGCGCAGAAAAACCCGCCTGCAAATCCAAGTGCACTGGTAACAGCAGCGGCTGGTGAAGAGAGCCAACTATCGGGGACTGGTACACAAAATAACGGGCAAGCAAAACATGGTGACCAAGGTGAACCACCAAATGAAAGAAAAGCTGCTCTCAGCTCTGTGCCAGGGACAATTCCGAAACCGCCGGATCAAACGACCTAATTGTATACTACGTATTAGGTGAGTACTGGATGACAGCGAATGAGTTGTGCGTATCACCCAAAAAAGAAGGCTTACAATGTCTTGAAAGAATGCATCTCAGTTGTTATCGCGTTTCTCCCGATCCTACTGAATGTATCTTTTAACATTCGATTCTGACCTCTCTATTCCATTCCAGACGGTGTATCAACTCCCAATCCTCCGGTGTTCCTAATTGTTGGACTTGTTTCACCTCTCATCAATCACAGTTCATAGTAAGTTGTAAAATGTAGTTAATTTGGTCGATTGATATTTTATCATATGTATTCATATATTTCGTTTGCATGGTCAAAACGAATAATTCAACACTTTTTTTATATTTCAGAATAATAGAAAATATCCGACGGTTCTTATGTAAATGAAAATAATTGCAATATGGTATGGGTTGTACAAATAAACGATCCCAATCTCTCAACACATCCTTTCGACAAACTGCTACCTTTTTACCCTTGTATTCGTTCCTGCAGCCCAATACCAATCTCTCTCCATAATTAGACTGCAGATCGTCAAGAAGAAACGGTTACATGTAATCATGAAACTGCTCCCGTATCGCAAGGAAAGATTTTTGGATATCGGTATTGTTATCGAACGTAACCTCCGATTGGGATTGATCAAACTCAATGGGAATGATACTCGAAATTCTTGATAACAATCGGGTATAGTTGAAATATATTCAAACAATGAAATGGGTATTTCATGGTAAAAATGAACCGCAGAAATACTGGGGTTCAAGTCATAACTCCACAGCCTGGCTCTCGCTGATACCTGTGTGTGCGTGTCGTATGGAAACTTCTGGTTTATAATCTAGTCTATTATTCATCTAATGTAGATTTCAAATGATACAAGTGAAATATATTACAAAAATAATTTGAAAATGTAGGAACGTGTTTCAGCTCCATTAAACTAAAAAAGGGTAACAAGTAAAACATTAAATGATACAAGCAACTAACCGTTTTAAGTCAGTCGCTATTGCAGTGTATTCGCCATAGGGTTTCATTCAAACGTGAAATAATGGACCATTCGTAGAGTGCACAAAAACTGTTGTAAAATTATGATTCCATTAAGATGTGTTGCATGAACGCACTTCAAATGGCGATATTTTGTTTGAACTATTTTTATTTTTGATCGGTGATGTGTCGTGACAAAGAATTTCGAATTTCATAATTAATTTCTAGAGTCTGGTGAATTTCGAAAAGTTATGGGGCTGTGTTTGTGTACACTTGTTCCAATGGGTACCATTTCGCGAGGGATAATCACCGGCATATAAATACGTTTATCCGAAGAAAGGGCTGTTATGTGTGTTATGTGTTCACACGTGATGCTAAAATACTTATCGAGCTTTAGGTGCACACTAGATCGTAAGCCAGGGGGATTGAATTTGGTTTGCTACACTTCCACTTCCAACTCATTTCATTCCCACAAAGGGGGAATACCGGGATACGCATGAACATCTTTCGGAAACATAAGATTATGCAGTTAGTGATACAACTCGTGCAACAGCAACCTTAATTTGGAAATATAATTTAGTTTATATTGCCATGCATGTCTATCGACATTTGCGAGTGAAGACCGTTTATTCAGAGAAATGTCGGTCATTTTAATATTCTCCAAATCCTGTTGCACTACTCCATTTAGTGCCAACCGACATTTTAAGAAAGATATTTTAATATTTGGAAAGTTCAAGTCAAAATCAAAACAATTTTGGATGCAGAGAAGTTTCAGAGTTTATTTATGTTTATAAAACTATAAATGTTTATATGAATGAGTTGATGCCTGTCAAATCAAGTGGTTTACAGGACACGGTACAATTTCTCGTATCAGGAAATTATCTATTTCATCCATGATATCGCCGGTTGGAGTGTAGTTGGGAACTGGACCAACTCCCATCTGTAGGCAGAAATAACATATTGATGAAGCAAAACGAATGACAACCGTATCTACTCTAAAACACAAGCTACTCAGGAAACCTACCGACGTATCTGCATCTGTTGTCAGTACAACGTCCTCTGCAAATTAATGCCACTATCCTGAATAAAGCAGTCAAACATATATATATATATATATATATGTATATATATGTATATATATGTATATATATATATGGACCGGTTTTAAAGAGAAATCAAGAAAGATTGTCACTCTGAAGAACACCAATTTGCATGGAACTAGGTCGAAAGGTGACGTACGCTCCGACTCATCCTCGGCTATTTGTGTAAAGGATAACAATATTGAAACATAATTCTGGGAAACACCCTTCTTTGAAGGGAGAGCCAGAGTAAAGTACTATCAACTGAGTTGGAAACTACTCTCTGATTAAGTAAGACACACACGGTGGGTTTATTAGGAAGTGGTGGTGTTCTGTTATTTCACGGAAAGATGATATTAGGATATGTACAGCCTCAACTGGGTTAGCAGCCAGCCTGGATTTTATGCGTGAATTGCTTAAATTTGCATGAATTTGACGGAGTATGCTGCTAGCGAGAATTTCAGAGACAATCTTGATCAAAATAACTCCTTTATGGTTTTGAAATAGTGTCGTAAACTCAAAAATCAGGACTCAGCTTGTCAACCTAACAGCAGATAAGGACAAACCATTTGAGTCGAAAGTCTTACACGTTTTATGTAATTTATTTTCCGGGAAACGTGCATTTGAGATGGAGTGCTGATATCGACAGAGAGTAGGGTTTATGATATATTTTGTCAATGCGGCCAGTTGAACCGAGCTTCAAAATGTTCTCCTCATCGCTCATAACGACGTTGCAGATAATGAGTGTGCACCATTGGATTTCTCAATAATATCGCTTACGTCTTTCCACATGCCCTCGATTATCATTTCGCGGGAAAAATTGCGAATGCGCCCTTAATTGATTCCTTTACCATCACTCTGTATATAACTATCCACGTATCCTAACGTGCATTCATGAAGCTTTTGGCAATCTAACGTTTGTTAGTTTGGTGTGCTCTGTCGTATTGGGCATTCAGATGAGTGGCTAATAGGAAGTAAAGCAAGACAGCCAAGGTAGATGAGATTTATCATTTATGCTTTGATCGTGCTCCAAAGTCCACCGATGTTCTGACTGACAGTCAGGGGAAGACTGGCTGTATCTCAAGCGCGATCGTGGGGCGTTCCGTCGATACCGGGCACGAGATCGAACCGGAGAAAGCTTTCGATGTTGTTTGTCGTATCCCGAGTTGGGACACAGGTCATGGCCAAGCGATTGTCATTCGCTTACTAGGCCCCAACCTGTGTGCCCAAAAGCGACTGGTGCAGGCGCTCCAATTGCCTTGTCCGGGTCTGAAAACCAAGAGAGAACAGGACGTGTCACCCAGGTGGGGAAAGGTCAGATGCTTTTGCGAACCAAGACACGTCTCAACTGAGAGATTCATGAGTTTCACCCAAGAAAGCTAATTATGCCATGCGATAAATTGTGTCAATACTGAATTCGGCAAACTGGAAAGGAGATTTTGGCTGAGTGTGGTCAATTGACCGTACTTTTTGCAACGGAGTTATATATCATGAAAAAGCAGAATGATATGTTTTAGGAATGAGAGGAAGACCGGGTCATATAAGCTGATTTCTTCATTTACGATTATAGCCACGAGTCAATGTTTTTCGAGGGCATACAGATTTTCAGATTGTTATTTGGTTTGCCTTGTTTCGGCAACCGGTTTCTCTTTGTTCTTGAATCGGTGCTCGTAGTAGAGATCCTAATTTGACTACTTTGGCATTGATTATGCAAAAAGAGAATTACCTGTACTTCAAAAATTAAAAACAAGCCTCTATAATTTCGGTCTTGCACTCGATAAGCTAAGCATTGAACCAGATAACTGTTTGCATCGAAGATGTTTTGTTTCATCTCATGCGATTTCAAAAACACATGACGGTAATTAAATTCGTTTCAACGTGTTTTCGTACAGATAAATGCACACTAGGTGGAAAATGAAGCAACCAAGAACGATACATTTTTATCAGTTTCAGCGATTATTACTTACACGAATTCTCGCAGATGAGAATTCAGATTAGACTCAGTAGAACCTAGCTAATACTCTTCATTTGTGTCGAGATCTCCCTGAAATTTGACGTCACATTGGGATAAACACTGTTCACAAACATCTGAGTAGCCGTTACTGGATAAAGCATATAAAGGCGTTGAAAAAATCATCTGGAACAATATGTTTTACCGGTATTTTGTCAAACCAGAATTATTCTTTCGTAATTTGTTTGGAATTGCCTAGTCCTCAGTATTTTATGTACACCTGATTCTATCAAAAATAGGTAACACCAAAGCTTTCAATAATTCACTCACAATCTAATCCTCACTGCAAAAGTTTTAGAAGCAAGCTGCTCCTTGTGGTCATTTGTGCATGCAAATATGAGTTCCATCAGCCCGCGGTGGACCTAGCGACTTAACTGCGTTTCTATTGTTGCGAGATTTGTGGACACTCAACCAGCTCTTTGAAGAATACAGCACAGCTACACACGTCTGTTGCATGAAGAATTATAATGATTGATGTCAATTTCAATCAACTCTTCCGCGCTGTGTTCTACTTCAAACGATTTTTCAAAGTTCAACCCCAATGGTTCTTAATGGTACAACTAATTACACATCTCGTCAATGACAGTCTACAGTGTGTTACGAATTGTAGAGAATTCTTAGACAACTTGATCGTTTTATGTTATATGAAATGAAGTTTACGTATTACATAAACACGAATAACGCTTTTTGCATTCCAGAAACAGAGAAGAAACTCACTGAACGAAATAGTTCACCAAAGCTTATGTAACCAATAAAATAATAGTGTAATAATCACAGAGTTCTGGAGTGTGATGCGACTTTCTTGCCAACACGTCAGCAAATTGGATGAAAAATTTGGGCCTTTCCAACACATCAATAAAACAATACCAAGAATAATAACCTCGTATTTTTGACATTTAAATAATAATGAGCGTTATGCATTATACA